TCTAAACTTTTACTTCTTTTTGAGGAAAACAAAGTTTTATTTTATACTGCTGCCTCCATTTACCCAATTTCGTGCTGTTTACAAGAAATGATCAAAAATAATAATAAAATGAACTGTAACCTGCAAAAACTTTAAAAGCATTGCCAGAAGGCCCTGTCCTCCTCCCTCTCCTTCCTCCCCTCCTCACCGTTAAGCCTTTAATCACAGTTTAGTCACACTGAGTCCTAATTAAAGACCCCTCTGATTCACAGGCGGGCATCCCAATCTCTGCCTGAGCAGAAAGCCCGCAGCAGACCCCCTCCCTGCTGTTTATCCCACCCTGTGGTTTCCCTCTGCGTGACAGGCTCTTTAACTAACGTGCGCTGCAGTGCCGGCTCGGTCCTCGATGCCTCCAAGGTGTCGCCGGGAGATAATGAGTTTGGCTTTTCTAGACGCATTTCTAAAGGAATCCCCTTGAAGTGACTGATGTGAGGGAGGGACGAGAAACAAGTTAGAGAAAGAGTGGAACTGTTGCCATTTAATTTGTTCTCACACACAGACCTATTTAAGATTAAAATATTAGAGTACGAGGTCACTGAAATGCTACTGGTATATGTACTTTTTTATTTTGTGTTGCCTTCTTTATAGTAGCTGAAACATGTAAGATGAAAGTTAAGTCAAAGATAAAGTGAGATTTATAAATTTAAGGCCTATAATTCCTTGTATATCTTCCACCATCGTTAACGTCAAAGTTTATTATTATGAAAAGCGACCATACTGCTTGAGATGTGTTAGCACTTGGAGTACATGTTGAAGATCTGTCTCAACTACTACCACCCAAAATTTGAGTTTAATATCTGTACAAGTTGTTTGCTAAAGTCAATGAGCTATAGCAGCCGTCTTGAAAGGGATCAACTCTAAAAGTTGATCGGTTGTAGATAAGTTTCCATGAAATCGTAAGATATTTTATTGATTTACAGCAAATTGCATCTTAAATGTACTTCACACATACATATTTATTTTTGAGGTGTTTGGAATATTTTTACAATCAATGGGCCTCATGCAAGAACATGTTCGTATTCTTATCCTAAATTTCTCTTACTTTTGTTCGTACAAAGGGTTCGTACGAACATGTCACGTCAGATTCAACAAACTCTTCTATCTTCAGGAAAAGTGCGTAAATGAGAGACTTTAACTTTTACCAAAGTTGTTTTTTGGTAAGATACTTGTACTTTTACTCAAGTAGCACTTTGTGGTGCTTTATACAACACTGAATATCATATACTACATGTCAGATACGATCGTATCATTTTATGGGGGAGAAAACTGATCTTATTTACTTGCGTTGGTACAACTGAACCTTCACGCAAATGTACGTTGATCTTATCTAACGGCGCATCGAGTCGAAGCTCTTCTCCTGTTCGTATCCAGCTGCTCGTGCATGCGAGAGGAGATTAGCATAATTACCACCCCCAAAAACACCATATAAGGCTGTGTTTCCTGCCTCAGATATCAGGAAGTGTCCATTCATGAAAAATGACAGCAAAAACTAAAAAGAAGAACTTTACGAGTTCAGAGATTGAAGTCCGTCTGTCAGAGATCCAGAAAAGAAAATCTGTCATTTTAGCAGCTCAGCTGTGGAATAAAAAGAGCTGCTAAAAGTATAAACAACTGTGTTAAATCATTTTCATTTATTCAGAAGACACACCGTCACGCACTGTACCCCCCCCCCCTCCCCCCGCGCGGTCTCAAGTGGTCTCAGTTGCGGTTCTGAAATAAGCCTTTTAAAATGTTTTCAAAATAAGTCTGGCACTTTGGAGAAAATCCGGGACTTGCTGGAGGGATTATGTACCCCCTCTGGCCTGGGAACGTCTCGGTGTCCCCCAGGACGAGCTGGAAGGTGTCGCTGGGGAGAGCGGGGTCTCTCTGCTGCTGCCCACACGACCCGATCCCGGATAAGTGGCGGAAAACGGACGAAAGGACAATTTATTAATATTGTTAGTCTAAATTATTACATTTAAAATTATAACTCTAATTCAAGCAGAATAGCCTATTGTCAACATAATTATGGAGTGTAATTTATTTTCAATTCAAAATATCTTCAAACTAACAAAATATAAAGTTATTAATGAAGAAAACCCGTCTGGATAACAGCAGACTGACTGCTCGTAAAATATACGACAGGTCTGGACCACTCGTGAATTTTGTTCGTATCTGAAAAAAATCTTAGAATACGAAAACATTGGTGAATGCCACAAATTCTCCTAAATCACTCGTACGCACAACTTGAGAACAAATCTGTGCGCACGAACGGTTCTTGCATGAGGTCCATTGTGCTGTGATTTTTACTCTGTTTTTGGGTTTCTGAGTCAACAACAAGTCTATTTCTTTAATACCTAACAACAAAAACACACCTAATTTCATATGTTAGCATCACAGGAACATGTCTGAGAGTCATATCACCTGAATGCCCTTATGTACCATAATATCATTTCCGGGGTGTGTGACTTGACTCGGATACAGAAGTAACACGCAGCTCGCAGCTATTTGCTCCGAATGGACGACCCTGGCCTGAAACAGTGCTAGTAATCCTTACACAACCTTGTGCAGATAAATATTCAAGTCTAAAACTGAATTGGTTCCCTACAGATAAATCGAGCTTACACTTTAAAACTTCATTTCTGTCAAAATCCATTCACAGGTTAATGAGATATTTAGCTAAAACCACAAACCAACAAAAACAAATACACACAAACATGCAAAAATATCAGTTTTAAAGATGTCAATAAAGTGTGTTTGTGTAAGAGAGTGAAAAGGTCTGTGCACGTTTAATGTAAAACTGTACTTTTTGTTAATTTGTTATTTGTATTGCTTGTTTATGTTAATGTGGTGCTAACCTTCAGGACAAACCCCTCTGGGCAGGTGAGCTGGTCGTACCACATGGCTTTGTACATGAGCAGAAAGAGCAGGCTGGTCAAGAAGGCCAACGTGATGAGGATCAGTCCTGTAATCTGAGAATAAAAACATTCACAGCTGCCCGGTAAGTTGAGCCGTTCTCATTTGGTGGTTTGTGACCCAACAGTGGGACAAGAACCCATTTTCAGTGGGTTGCTGGCTCTTTGTCCGGGCAAAGAAAAACTCAACGACCTTTTTATAGTTATTGTTTGAATAAGTGACAGAATCATTTTATTAACACTTTGTATGTTCAGTGGTACTCAGCTAAAGCTGCAAATGATAAGCATTTTATTTTTTATATATATTTTTTATGTTATTTAGTATATTTTTGTAAATGATGTTTCGTTTGAATATATTCTGGGTCGAAAAGGGGCAGACAAAATAAGATTTATTCTTCTTCTGCTACCTTTCATTTTATTTTGATTTGTGTATTTTTTGGTTTTGGTTTATTTTTATTATTGTATATAGTATTTTTTTAATGAAATGAATACATTTTTGAATTGAAATTTGAAAAATTGAATTTTCAAAACTTCTCAATAGTTGAAAGTTTTAATTCATGTTTGTGAGTGAACAAACTGTTTTTCTAAACTGTGTCTGTTAACAATGGCTGAAGAAGTAAAAAAAAGTAAAACATTTTGGTTTATTTAAAATGCAGCTGATAGAGCAATGCCACTTTCTGGTAATTTTGGTTTATCAGTAAACACAATTGTGTGTTTTAGCTTACTGTGATGTTCTACAATCTCAGACTCTAACTTGATTTATGTTTCAACCTGTAATTAAGGTGTAATGGTGAGTCCTAAAGCCAGACCAGCTGAGAACTAGTGATTAAAACAAATCTTCAGGGCCAGGCATTATTTATTTATTAGCACTTATTTAACCAGGGAAATCCCATGAAGCTCACAGATCTATTTTGCAAGGAAGGCCTGGGTCTGAAGGCAAATTAACATGCATGCTTTTGGACTTTTAGACTTAATTTAAAATTTAGGTTTTAATGAGTATTTTACCTTGACTTTATCTGAGACATCAGTGTAGAAGTTGATGTTCAGCTTCTTGATATCAGGAACATACAGCTTGTTCTTCTGCTGCTGCTGCAGCTGAAACTGTGTCTTCGTCTTCACAATGACCTGCAGCAAAAACCAAAAGGAAAAGCTAAAGATATTAGTTTTAAATTAAACCACAAAATTCAAATCAAGGCCCGCAGGCCAAATGTGACCCTCCACAGCATATTATGTGGCCCACGAAAACTGCAAATGAACCGTTGTGGATCAGAGAATGAGGAGCATCTTGTCTCCTTTAGATTGTGGCACGCTTTTGACAACGCCGTCCCAAAATTATACGTATATCATCGCAAAAACGCCACTGAATGAGCTGCTTTTGATATTCTTAATAGTCAGTTTTATTAACAGCACCATCTTTATTTCTGGGTCTGTGCTCCGTCCCGCCTCCACCATGTCTGTCCAATGGGAACAATGACGTCACCTGCTTTGTTTGTAAATTATAGTCCACTTGCAAAAAGAACAATGTGAATGCAAACCACACTAAAGGAAAAAAATAAAGTCCGCTATTTGGTCCGGACCAAACAAGTGGACCAAAGGACTTTCCAGGTGTGAATACACCCATGTATTTCTACCTCTAAACATTAAGGATTTCCAAAAGCAGTCACTTTTATTTTGATCCCTTAACTCTGCAGTGTTCTAAAAACACCATTTCACCATCTTTTTACTCCTGCAAAACATCCCGTAGGGTTGCATTCATCATCCAGCCAAAAATGATCCTCAGTGCTTTTCTTCTTGCATTATGCATTCATAGAAGTGCTTGTAGTAAGAAGTGATGCCAAGGCTACCCCAGGATGGTTGAATGAAAAGGTACATACAGCCGGCTCAGCACAGAAGGACGCTACGTGCACCCACAAGAATTTTAATGGCGTTTGTCCTCACGATTTATGCAGTGGTTTGGAATTTTTTTAAGATTTTTTTTTTGCAATGTGCAGTTTTGCTGAGTTGAAACAAACAGAGGGACACAATAAAAGTAACAGGATCTGCTTACCTTATCAGCGAATGGCTGCTGGAGCTGGCTGACCTCCAGGGGTGTGATGAGGGGGATGTTATCAAAGCCATCATCCGCTGATGGCTGCTTCTCCATCTTATCAGACAGATTACTGCCCAGCTTCACCATGGCTGCTCCGCTGCCTAAAACTGCCTGGATGGATCAGACGGTTCAGGTCAGATCGACTCCGACTTTGTGTTTGGTAACCGAATGTGAGAGAGCTGCTCAGAGATCCTGCAAGGACATGATAAAAAATACATTAATGATTAAAACAGGAAGTTATGAAGACGAGCAATACAAACCATAGCAAAAGAAGAAAACTAAGCTTTTGTGGCTTGACGTCTGCTTTATCATGAAGACAAATGTCTGTTTCTCCATCATTTAAATTTAACAAGTAATATCTGAACAACCTGCTAAACTCATAAAGATGACTCCCGCATGTGCCTTGTAATCCAAGCATATAATGAAAAAACTGTATCCATTCAAATACACTGTAAGTACCAGTGTTAACCTTATAAATACCAGTATATGTACCTAGTACATACCCTATAAATGCTGTTTATATACCCCAGTAAGTACCCTGTATGTATTTTTTCAAGAAGCCTTTAATAAACACCTTGTAAGTGGCTGTTTTTACCATATTAATACCAGTATATGTACCTAGTACATACCCTGTAATGGCCTATTTTTATCTCCGAAAGTACCCTGCATGTATTTCTTCAAGTATCCTATAAGTGCCACCATGTACTGTATATACCATGGAAGTACCATGGAAGAACCCCACATAAGAACTACACATGTACTAGTGTATGTACTACTGTATGTACTGCTGTAAGTACAATAAGTACCCTGTTTGAATAGAAATGGCCTTTGCTGTCCCGCGGCGGGGAAATTCAGGTGTAACAGCAGCAGCAGCAGATCAGTCCACAAAACAGTATGTTGCTATGTGACATTATCAACTGTAGGAATAACAATAGAATTAAAGTAATAAAATTTAAAAATAGAATTAATTAAAAATTACTGTACAAGACTATAAAGATGAAATAAGATAAAAACAAAAAATTAAAGCAAAATACCATGCAGAAAAAGAAAAAAATTACAAGAAAAACAGTCATGACAGAATCATGATCCGATGGGGTGTGCAAACTGAGTCGAACGTGTTCCAGTACAGGAAAAAAAATATGTACAATTACCACAGAGTATTATTTATGTAATGATTGAGCAATAGAGTTGTTTGATGTGCCAACAGATGCTTATCGAGACTGTTTTGTCACTATTTTATATTCTCCTGTTAAACCAGGTCAGGTCTCCATCCCAAAAACTTCCCTATAAAATGTGTATAATAAAATTTAAATGTTTCCTCACAGAATACTAGATATCTTTCTGCTGAAATGATTAACTTCTGATTCACGACTTTACAATTTCTGAAATGCATTCGTTTTAGATTTATTTTTATTCACACACGTTTGGGGTTGATTGAATACAAGCCTATTCCTAACCGAAACACAATTCATGCTTTAGTCTTAAACCTAACCCCTAACCACAAACCCATATTCAACAGTTTTAGGATCAGGCTTTGGTCCCCATAAGGACTACCACTCCTAACAAGGTAGGTAATACTAGAAAGGGTCTTAAAAGGTAGAATAAATAAATTTGGGGAAAAAAGCACACACAGAAACAGGCCTTTACATGATGGTGGCAGGTTATGATTATGACCACAAACTAGCATGCTTGGAGCATCATAAGTCCATTAGCATTGTTAATGAATCTACAAGACTTGAGATGTTAAAGTGAGAAATTTGTCTTATTTAATAAATTTAGATTTTATGTTAGGAAGAGCGGTCTAAAACTGTGCTGTTAGTTTATTTCATAGGGTACGAGCAGAGGTGTAATAGCTTTGTGCAAAAGCTGATGGTGTTAATTTCACACGCACAAAAATAACCTCAGTGTAGCTGCTGATAATTGATGCATAAATAAACAGAACAGACAGTTGTTTGCGCTGCTGTTTGAATATCATGAACATTGGTGTCATGGTTGCTCTATGTATCAACAGACGGGAGTCAAGTGAACCATGAACTAACCAGACAAACTAATCAGGTGGACTCAGCAGTGAATCCTCAGCATACACAAACCTATGCACCGCCCACCTACCTTTAGGAAGTAACACAGACGTTGTTTGGCTGAGAAAACAGTGACAAACAAATGGTGTAATGCAAAAGTGTAGAGCTGGGATGCTCAATTCATTTTCACCAAAGGATAAATGAGCGTTAATGTTGCCCTCAAAGTTCAATATTTTGTGTTATTTTGTGTTAACGTTGACCAAACATGAAACATCAAATTACTCATCTTATTGCTACTGCTGAGCACAGTTAAAAATAATAATAACTGAGCTCTACATAGTATTTCCTGCATGGAAACAGAGTTTTAACATATAAACACTGAAAAGTACTATGTATACAACTGACTACATGTGAAATAAATAATACAGAAATACTATTTAAAAAGTAAGAGAGATTTACTCTCTGTTGAGTAAGCAGCTGCCATCCTGAATTCTAAACTTTCCCACTTTCTGACAGGGAACTAGCTCACTGTTTAGTTTAAAGTTACGAGCCGTAGTAAAATTAGCAAAAATGCAGTGAAATGGAGATTTTACACGAGCAATTTTCCAGTTGCTGCTACTTCTTGACCCTGTACACTTCCACCTAGTGGTGGGACGCCATCATTTTGTGGGTAAAACTAGATACCGCATAGCGGTAACATAATGACCCCCGCACGCAGAAATGCACCAGAACTCAGAAGTCTTTATTCCTAATA